TTCAACATTTTCTTCAAAGATTTTCTTCTCATATTTTCTTCCTGTCAAATGATATCAATAGTCAAGTAAAACCTTTGACAGTTACATTTATGGATGGCTGGTACTGGTTCAAGGAGTTTGTGTTTCCATTTTACATTCACACTGGACCATGGACAATTTATTGTCCTTTAGGAAGGCGTACCAACTTTCAGCAGTAAGATACTGAAAAATATTGATATCCCGCATTGAATAGAGTCAAAGAACGCGCCAATACATTATTGTTACACAATTTGAACTTACGCTGGCTTTTTTTTTTAAATATCAGTGAATACAAGAAGTAAGTGATCAAAATTTCAGACTTACGCCATTATTCACAAACGATTCTTGCTTAAGTGAAGCAGCAAATCTAACGTACATCGTTGAATAGAGCTCTGTGATTGGTTCGTGTGTCACCCTGTGCGTCCACGCGCACTGTGAGACCCTATAGTAATGTCTGTGAATACGGGCGTAAAGTCGTAGAAGTAATAGAAAAAAGCAATACCTAGGTTATAAGACTAAAATTAATTTAAAACTTAATCGGAATATTCTCGAGATTATCCCAAAAACCGTCTGGAATTCAGCCATTGTGCTGGCCCAATCTCATCAGTGCCCGCAGAATTCACCTTTACAAATGAAACTAAATTCTAGCAGACATTCCCATTGTAAAATTCAATAGATCCGCAGACCCGGTTTCCCCGTGCTATTGGATTGTCAAATAGGGGAATAGCCAATGGGTACATTTATGCAAAGTAGGGTTAGGGCACCTTTTTAGCCCCACATCCGTGTACCTTCCTGGAATGACGTTATTGGACTGGTGATTTACATCGGTCAGTTTACTTGCACTAAGATAGGTCTGATAATCACCATGTTTTGATACCTTAACTAACGGCCGCCTGAGACTTCGTACGCGTGGATCCCGTTTTACCTCCTTAGGGGTGGAGTTTCGTAAAATCCTTTCTTAGCGGATGCCTACGTCATAGCATCTACCTGCATGCAAAATTTCAGCCCGATCCATCCAGTGGTTTGGGCTGTGCGTTTATAGATCACTATGTCTGTCAGTCAGTCAGTCACCTTTGAGTTATATACATACATATATATTTACTCGTAGATTTCATCCTATTCCTAACACATCTTTATAAAATCTTCCTCGGATTTCAACCAATCATCATCATCATCATCATCATTTCAGCCACCGGACGTCCACTGCTGAACATAGGCCAATGACTTCCACATCACACGGTTGGTAGTGGCCTGCATCCAGCGCCTTCCTGCTGCCCTTATCAACCAATATTTGAATAAAAAAGTTTTAGTGCTTGGCATAGGTACCTACAATAACATTTTTTTAGTTTTATAACCATTAGAAATAGAAATACCTAGTCTTTTTTATATAGAAATGAAAATTCAAGTTTCGACTGTAGATTGTAAGATTTCTTTAAAAATCAATTTCGCTTTTGAATTACCAAGTAAACGAGCATGATTATATTCAAATTCAAAACGTTTATTTTAAATTAAACGTTTTGAGCACAATATAGTAAACAGGGTCGCATTTTGTTTGACCATAAACGTTTTTTAAGTTCCACAGTTTAAATAGGTAAAATAATTTCAACTCATAATAGCTGATTGGAAATACGTCGTAACCAGCAACTTCATTTTGAAAATGTTTTACACAATTTTTGCTATATTATTATTATGGCCGCCCCATTCTCACGTCGTGACAACTTTTTTCCAGTTAGCTTCCAAAAGGCTAAGTTATTACAGGATTTACATTATTATAACATAGAGTTCAGTATGAAAATAAATTATTAATTAATATGAATTATAATAATTACTAGTGTTCAGGCACACATACTTTCAATGAGCACGGTACGATTGCGCGGGACCTATTTAAATCTGCCGCCAACTCCGTCCCGCCAAAACTTACACGGCGAGCGCGCGCGACTACAGTAGCGCCGCGCCGCGTCCACGACGGAAAACGAACGAAAGCTATGCAGCTCGCCCTCTCGCGTTTGGGCCGGCTCCGCGAGTGCCACGCTTATTGTGTGCTCCAACGGAAATGTGAAATTTGGTGACTTTTTGGAAATGTTTTGTGTGTGAGGCCTCCACAGTACTTTGCTTGAAGTTAGTGACTCAAGTGAACCACCGAAGACACCGGGCGAAGCCCTAACTACCGGCCGGCGGCGTCCTACAGAGTACCTACCAGCAGCGCGGCGGCAGACAAGGTACCTGTTCGATTGTTGCTGTGTTTTGTTGATTGTGTTGTGCCTGGACGACACTGGGAAACTCATATTCGCTATCGAAGTAGTTAACAACTAGCTTTCCGCCCGCGGCTTCGCCCGCGTGGAATTTTGTCTGTCACAGAAAAACTTTATCGCGCGCGTCCCTGTTTCAAAAACCGGGATAAAAACTATCCTATGTTCTTTCCCGGGACTCAAACTATCTCTATGCCAAATTTCATCAAAATCGGTTGCGAGGTTTAAGCGGGAAAGCGTAACAGACAGACAGACAGACAGAGTTACTTTCGCATTTATAATATTAGTTGGGATTGTTGGTACCAGTACTTACTTAGTATTAGGATAAAATGGTACGAGGTTCAAAATAAATTACGGGTAGTTAACCTATTTTTTAAGTCTTAAAATTATCATAATTATTATAATTACATTTTACCATAGCTTTCATGAAACATACGTCTTGCTTTAATCTCCACACACTCTAGTAGGTACATCTGACTACCTAAATTTGTCACAAAACATCGTGATGAATACGTGTATTACAACTGCATGAGAGCCAAAGCATACGATGCGTTGCGGCGGCGGTGCGACGCCGGAGCGGTGTCGCTGCGTCGTCTTACATAGAAATATCTGTGGCGGGCACACGAGCGGTGCTGCGCCACGTCGTATAATATGGCGAAAGGTCATAGCAGACTTATCAACTCTGAAAGGGATCAACACGTCAACACCGTATCACATTTCGCGAGCTGTCAATCGCGAGGCGAGGCGTTTACGTTACGGATTTTTTTTATCCACAACGAGGAAGCTCTTGGCCTGTATCTCACCTGATGGTAAGCGACGATCAGGCCGAAGGTGGAAGCGAGCTTCACCCGAATCCTCAACCACGGAGGAACTGGCTATCTTTCTTATCTCTGACTGCCGGAACACAATAATGCTGTTAACATTGTTGTTAATTAGGTAAGATGGTGGTAGCTAGCCAGGCGGACTTAGAACAAGCCATACCACCAACCAAACCGAACAGAAAAATCTGCCCCTACTGGGAATCGAACCCGGGACCTCTGCGTCTGAAGCAGGTGGTCTTACCACTAGACCACAGAGGCGGTTTAAACGGTGCGGATACGTGTGCGTTACAGTATGGAATTTCATACAAAGAATACTGACCGCCTCGTGTTGATACGGTTACGATCCCTTTCCGGATTGATAATTGTGCTAAGTCCTGAAATCTTTACCGTGTCGCATCACTGCCGCAACGCATCGTGTGCTTTAAGCTCTAAGTTATCATCATAGTTATGTGCTGTCTAAACATGACTGTGGTTTAAAACTAAAAGAAAACGACGTAATTGTCGCACACTAACGTTTTCAAAGTTAAGTTTAATTGGTAATTTCAAGTTGGGTCAACTTTTGTAGGTCACCAAAAGTTTCTAACTACTAGTTTTCTCATTAACAAGGTAAAAGGTTAGAGTGGGTTACTCCTACTTTGTTTTAACATCCTAATCATTTAACTTGCATTTTGATTTCTATGCTTTTATTTTTTAATTCATCATCATCATCATCATCATTTCAGCCATAGGACGTCCACTGCTGAACATAGGCCTCCCCTAATGCTTTCCACTTATTTTTTAATTATGCCCGTTTTGAATACACAGATATAAAACTGAGAAAATGTTCGCATAACATTACATCGGGTGCAGAACATTACAGAAAGTACAGTGTAAAATGTCCCATTATTTGCCTCCAACGGGATTCGAACCTGCGACTGCGGTACATATTATAGTTGGATTGAATTTGTTTGAATCACTAGGTCGTAGAGTATGCGAGTCATTAGGTCGAGAAAAACAAAACACCATTGAAAAAGATTGATAGCCATTTTGACCATGTCTTTTTTCAATACTTTAGTTTGAAACAACATTATTTTCCACAAATGCTTACTAAAAAGGATTAGAAGGACTAAAAAGGAAGAACATTATGTTGAATACTGTAGTTTATAAGTAATTGTAGTCTTAAAATCTTTTAGTTAGAGCATAGGTACATAATAGAAAAGTTAAGTAATTCTGCAAAAGCGTGAAATCCCATCCCATCATCAAAATAATGCTACCCTTTTCTTACGACTGACGTTAAACCTAATCGAATGATTTCCTTCCAAATGGTCATTAATTGGAATCATTTGATTAAGTTAATAAAATAATTTTATCTCACATTCGTAAAATAAAAAAAGAAACTATAAGCTTATAACGCTTGTAAACTCAACAACTGTATTGTCAACAATAATCGTCTAACTATACTTTTGTTGCAAAATATCACCTAATACAACAAAATAAGATGCTACAGTGCTAAACTTGATATGCTGTCGGACTTTGATTAGCGTTTTCAGGAAATCACCTCTTAAGCGACGCAGAACAAGTAGTAAGTATACATTGCTTCCATCATGAATGATGGAAATTCGTTACCTGCGGTCGAAGAGTCAATGTATGAAGTGAAGCGAGGACTTCAGCAGGATATGGTAGTACACGCAGCCTTATAGAGACACTCAGTACGGCCTCAGCTTTCGCGCTGGGCACTCGTGTGTCGTGAGCAGGCGATTTCGCTCGTCAAACTTTCCTCTGGGAAATACGCGAGAATTTTTTTCAAAAATTTGTGATTTTCTCTTGTGATTCGTTAAAAATAAATTAATGAAATTATTTTTTGTTGTAGTGATGTGAATTTGACTGGTGTTTATTTAGGTAATGAGTTTAATTACGGTGATGAGAGGAACGCAGTTTTTGCCGATCTAGCCCCAGGGACTCCAATGAGGCGTTTCCTGGCATAGGTAAATATCTGCTAATTAGTATTATGTTATTATTAGTAATTAACATCCTTGAAGATTATAATATTATGTTAACTCTATGAATGGTTTCGAAAAAAAGGAACCCACTGGGTGGAGATTAGTTTACAAGTATTAAGTATTGTTAAACAACTTCTACCTTTTTTTTTCAATGAAAAATTTAATAAGATGACAAAATAAACATGTTTATTTGACTCTAGATTTTGAAAAAAACAACCCCTGAAAGTTTCAACATAGGTACAACTTAATTATTTAATAAAAAATACTACGAATATTGAATCAATATTGTTATATTTTTTACTATCAAAAATATCAGGGTAGTAACTACGTAATTACGTTTGTTAAAGCTTTAATTAATGCTTTTTGTATACGCAAAGCAGTTAAAATTTAACGATGGATTGTATAACTGCTATTTACTGTAAACCTACAACAAAAATCGTGTTTTTAAAATGAAAGTCGTTAAGCTTTAGGATAAAAATATGTTGAATTATGTAACCTAAATGGATTACACATAGTGGTTCATTTGGATTACATTTAAATGTAAATCTGTTCGCGATTCAATTGCCACGCTTTTATTTGCGGATTTAAATAACAAACTACATCATGATAATAATATAAAGGGTGTTCAATAAAATAAAAAATAATAATTAAATATCTTTGGACAATCTCACACAGCACCATCTAGCCCCAAAGTAAGCAATTAAGCTTGTAAATATAATTAATAATTAAATTAATAAAAATCTAGACAAATATCATCATCATCAGCATTTCAGCCACAGGGCCATTGCTGAACAAAGTCAGTGAAGATAGTCGTCTGAACGATTTTTCGCAGTTACTTTTGTAATAAACACTTTACTACTCGTTTATGTCGCGCAGTCGGGTAAAATACTAAATGGTAGACTGGGACTGAAACTGGGCGTAGGTCTACTTAACCTATGGATGGAACCCGAGAGGCCTAATTTATCTTTAAAATATTCTCTTCGTATTTTCAGGAGAGTTTCAGTCCGTTCAGGAGATATTTTGATATCAACATAATATAAATGCGATTAGCACAAATGCCTCTATTATTTCTTGTGCTACAAAACCATCCCATCCCAACTAATATTATAAATGCGAAAGTAACTCTGTCTGTCTGTCTGTCTGTCTGTCTGTTACGCTTTCCCGCTTAAACCTCGCAACCGATTTTGATGAAATTTGGCATAGAGATAGTTTGAGTCCCGGGAAAGAACATAGGATAGTTTTTATCCCGGTTTTTGAAACAGGGACGCGCGCGATAAAGTTTTTCTGTGACAGACAAAAATCCACGCGGGCGAAGCCGCGGGCGGAAAGCTAGTAGTTTTATATTAGACGAGCGGCCGCCCGCGACTTTCGCGAATTTTTCATACAAAAGGATTTTCCCGCTAATTCCTGTTCCCTTGGGAATTCCTAAGTATACTATAACCTGCCCAGGAGTATAAAGAATAAAATTCTACCAAGTTTCGTTAAAATCCGTCGAGTAGTTTTTGTTTCTATAAGGAACATACAGACGGACAGACAGACAGACAGACAAAAATTTTACTGATTGCATTTTAGATCACGATTCACCCCCTGATAGTTATTTTGAAAATATATTTCATGTGTTTCTCTATTTTATTTGAAATGGAATGCGAAAGCTTAAAATATCTTTACACGTTTATTAAACACCGTTTTTTTTCATAATAAGTAGGACTCACTTCAATCTAATATTACATACTAGCTTTCCGCCGGCGGCTTCGCCCGTGTGGAATTTTGTCTGTCACAGAAAAACTTTATCGCGTGCGTCGCTGATTCAAAAACCGGGATAAAAACTATCCTATGTCCTTTCCCGGGACTCAAACTATCTCTATGCCTAATTTCATCAAAATCGGTTCAGTGGTTTAGGCGTGAAAGTGAGACAGACAGACAGACAGAGTTACTTTCGCATTTATTAGTATAGATTTAGCTTGACATGGTCTTATATCGTATTTATTACATAACAGATGGACATTCCAACATTGTCATCAAGAAATGGGGAGTCTAAGCACAACAGACTGTTAAGAAATAGACGTAGAGCATGTACCTATTTGATATTTGATAACTTATACATTATGGTAGAGGCTGAGGATAGTCTGGAAATCGATTTATTCTTTACATCACACATACAAAAGAAAAACTTGCCTAATAAAAATTACATAAAATATTGTAATAAATAATATCTGCAACTCGGTAGGTCTACTATTATACTATATATATATACTATACTTAAATTATATTACAATAAAAAAAAAACATTTTTCTATGAACGAAGATATCAACTTTATGAAGTCCGAATTCAAGATAATGTAAAAAAAAAAGGTTTAGTATCATCATCATCAGCATTTCAGCAACAGGACGTCCACTGCTGAACATAGGCCTCCAATGATTACCACATCGCCCGGTTGGTAGCGGCCTGCATCCAGCGGTTTCCTGCTACCTCCATGAGGCCGTAGTTCGGTATGATTGTTATTAATTTTCATTATGTAAATTATCAGATTTAAATAATCTAAAGCACATTTAAATTTAATGTTAGACATAACATTTTAAAGGCTTTTCAAACGCACTAAATTTCACCATAAAATCGAACATCATAAAATGACACGTAAAGAGAAATTAAAAAGATCGTAAAATCACTATAACTATAAAGTTTAGAAGTTTTAATGCTCGCATACTCGTATCTGATCAAATTAACAGCTCATTAATTTTGATACGATCTAGTCTCGGATTCGAGCGCAAAGAACGTGAAATAAAACACTTTATAGTGTTGTCTTAATAGTTTGAATCATGCATCTACAATCATGCACAATCTCGCAGATTGAGTTATGTGTGGTAGTTCTTAATAAATTGTATTGAAACTTTTAAGTCTGCTTGTGACCACGGCTGCAACATCGCAGCCGAAACGTCAAGCCGTGAGTACATAATGTAACTCATTAATAAACGTCGCGTTAAGACTCGTGTCTTACTATTTTAGCTTAAATTGTGTTGGGCAAATAGGTATTTACACATATTATTTCAGTTCACCCTATGAATCATCATCAACCCGCTTTAGTTCATTCCACAGTGATGCAAAGAGTATCACCCTATCTTTCCCGAACACTTTATATGACCTTTTTTCTACAGGCGTGAATAAGCAAATGCCTACTGTAAATTATGGTGACAGGGAAACTCGAAATTGAAAACAATTATATTAAAGGTCATTAGCAACAAATTAAGTACAGTGAACCAGGGGTCAAAACTGGATGGTTACCAAGTTATTAGATTTTTTTAAATTTTCGACTTGTCAAAAACCATTAATTGTGAATAAACATTGAATTGATAGTTTTCTGAAAGCTGAATAATTAAATAAAAAGTGCTTGCCCATGACTTACAATCTCAGTAATAAAAGGTAAAAATAGTCAGCTCTGTTGTTGAAGTCAGTTCATAGAACTTACATATTGTATACAATTACGTCTACTGGGTCATAATTTTCCTTTGAGAGCCCATTTATTTTAACTTTCATTGGTTCTGTTTTTTTACCTTTTTTGAGTCTATAACTTTAGTCTACTTCTGAATGACTTCGTTCAAGATTAAAACTTATATGAGATGAAGAAGAAGGATCAACTTTAATGTCATACTCCACGTTTTGGCTCCCAAGGTCCGACCACATTTTATGTGAATATTATTATTATCTTTCAACGTATTTTTTCCATCGTCCCCATATTATTACTACATAAAAATATTTCGAATACTATCGGAGCGTTATGGCTTCCTTTATGGGATGCCTTTAAAAGCCTTAAACGTCTTTTGGGGCTTAAAATACCAAATATCAACGGCCGTAACTTCTTCGTAGCCTTTATAAGTAATTTCAAGTAAAAATTGCCAGCGGTTCGGTTGACCTTCTTGCTTTATAGCTTGAACGCTATCTCGCATTATACAGGGTTGCTTAATATTCATTTTGGCCCCTTTACTCCAAGGGTTATTTGATGGAAGCCATGCATAGTCTGTCTTGTTTAGTTGTTGCACATAATTTAGCTGTTTTAGAGACCGTCTTGAGTGCTAGCTATAAATAATTGCTTGACAATTCTGAGAACTCTGTCTTTGTTTCAATATAACTCATTTAAAATAAAAAGTGTATAAACACTTTAAAATGAATAGAAATCTATTTAAGCTACATGAGACCATATAGGTACGTACTTTTTGTACTAGTTTAACGATTTTAAAGAACTGTATCAAAAGCTTTTGTTTGCCCAAACAATGGCTTGGATACAACAAAAACCAAAATCTAGACAAAAGTTCCAAAAAATGCACAAAGACAATTCATTACGAGCGAAAATCATTATTTGAAACGAAAAATCATCCCGGCGGGTGTTGAAAACTCGACGGCAAGAATAGTGATGTGGGTTGTGCGAATTATCGGTAACTGTCTATCGACACATTCATACTTTTCAATTCCAAGATATCGTTTTACGAATTTACTGTACTAAGTATGAACAAGAGCACTTAAAAGGTAATACATTAAGATATCTTAAGGTGAGTTTAGACCTTTTTCTTGTAACACAAGAAAGAGCCGCTCTATCACCCTTTTACGAACCAAACGTGCTTTGGAAACTAAGTTTTTACCTGTTGTATCGTAAGAATCCAGAAGTGATCAAGAAAATGCTCTGTAGGTCCACCTGTAGGTGATATTTTTCGAGTTGTAAATCTTTTGGTAACTTTTTTTCACTTCTTCATTCTGGGCTTAAACTTGAATATGGCTAGTTACAATGCTATTGGTGCTACTATTACATTGAGTAATTTTAAAGACCTAGGCTATCTAAGTTAAAATACTCAAAGTTTTATTCGTATCTCGTGTAAATGACGTTTTGTACGAAGTTGAAAAAAGGCATAGTCGATACAAATAACTGTATCGACATTCTACAAAGTCAAACTGTCGACTATTCCCAACACTACCCAAGAGTGAAAAATAAAGAAAA